TTTGCAATTTTTTTCAAAATTGCAAAAAAAAAAAAAAAAAAAAAGATTGTGAGATATAAAGTTGCAATTACCTTTTTAAAAAAATGTTTATCCTGTGGGGGAAGCAGGCTTCCATACTTTATCACTTTTGATCAATTGAATGTGTCCTAGCTAAATAAAAATATTTCTTAAAGCAAAAAAAACACATAAACACATCTCCAAACTTTACTAATAATGACTGCAGCTGTCAAGCTCCAAAAAGATAAAAAAGAACCGTAAAACATCAGTACATCAGTCTAGTTCCCGTGATGCAAACATGAAATCATTTTTGGTCTGTTTATTTCCCAGCTGTTCTGGGAGAAAAAGCTGAGTGGACTCAACACTTACGATATCGCAGAGGAGCTGGTGAAGACCATGGATCTTCCTAAAGGATTGCAAGGTGAGCATGGAGGAGCAGCTCTCATACACACTGAATGAAATGAAATGGTTAGACTGAATACTGCAGTGTTGGGGTTGTAAGCTGTGTGATGTTTCAATGGGCAGGTGTGGGTCCGGGTTACACGGGTAACACGCTGCTGTCGGCTCTAGCGAGCGCCCTGCACACCAGCTCGGCTCCCATCACGGGTCAGCTGTCCGCCGCGGTGGAGAAGAACCCCGGAGTCTGGCTCAACACCACACAGCCTCTGTGCAAAGCCTTCATGGTGACGGATGAAGACATCAGGTACGAGCTGACACTCCACCGTGTTTGTGGTGGAGTTTAGCTCTAGACCTAATTAAACGCACCCTGAAGCAGCTAATCACAGTCTGCGGGATCACTAGAAACTCCCAAGCTGGTGTTTTGGAGCTAAACTGTGCAGGAAAGGAGGCCTTCTTTGTCATAACGTAATGTTTTCTTCTATCTTAGGTTCACTTAGGGAGTATTCTTCTGAATTTAGTTGTACATGATTGTCCAGCAACAAGGTTAAAACAGACCCTCAGAAAGCTGTCGAGCAGCCCAGACAGGTGAACATCACATCTGCTGCAGCGGTTTACAAAGGAAATATATATATTCAAAAACTTTGGGGTCGATAAGATTTTTATAATGGTTTTTAAAAGAGTCTCTTCTGCTCACCAAGGCTGCATTTATTTGATTTAAAAAAAAAAGTAAAATTTTGAAATATTATTAGTTTAAAACGGCTGTTTTCTATGTGAATCTCTGTTAAACTGTAATGTATTTCTGTGATGTGCAGCTGTATTTTCAGCATCATTCCTCCAGTCTTCAGTGTCACATGATCTTCAGAAATCATTCTAATATGCTGATCTGCTGCTCGAGAAACATTTCTGATTATTATCAATGTTGAAAACAGTTGCACTCCACAATATTTTTGTGTAAACTGTGATGCATTATATTTTTCATGATTCACAGATGAATAGAAAATTCAAAAGAACAAATAGAAATCTTTTGTAACATTATAAATGTCTTTATTACGGAAGCCAGGTTCTGGCATAGGATAAACAAAAAATTGAAAGGTAATTGAGACTTTTTATCTTGCAATTTTTCTCAGAATTACAAAAAAAAAAAAAAAAAAAGATTGTGAGATATAAAGTTGCAATTACCTTTTTAAAAAAAATGTTTATCCTGTGGGGGAAGCAGGCTTCCATACTTTATCACTTTTGATCAATTGAATGTGTCCTAGCTAAATAAAAATATTTCTTAAAGCAAAAAAAACACATCTTACTGACCCCAAACTTTATTAATAATGACTGCAGCTGTCAAGCTCCAAAAAGATAAAAAAGAACCGTAAAACATCAGTCCAGTCAATTAGTTCCCGTGATGCAAACATGAAATCATTTTTGGTCCGTTTATTTCCCAGCTGTTCTGGGAGAAAAAGCTGAGTGGACTCAACACTTACGATATCGCAGAGGAGCTGGTGCAGAATGAGCTTTATTACCAGGCATGTTTTCACATACGAGGGAATTTGTTTTCATGAAAGAAGCTTCCGCGGTGCAACAGAATGACAGCGACAGAACAAAAACACAGATAATAAAATAAAAATAAAAAATAGAACAAGTAATCACATGTAAACATGTGCACTGCACTTTTTAAACACTGTCTGTTAAATTTAGATCAGTGGTTCTCAAACTTTTTTGGTCGCGCCCCCCTTTAAACCTATAAAACAAAATCTGCCCCCCTTTCCCGAATCCCCATCCCACCTCAGACTACCAAATAATTTCACTAAACATGAAACCTACAGGGGAAAAAACACCTGCATCACTTGAAACATTGAAAAATAGCATAGAGAGAATAACATTATTATTATTATTATTATT